AGGGAATACTGATCTTTCACTGCGCAGGTCCAAAAGCCATGTGTCAACCTCCTTTGTGCGTCCGACATCATATTAGGGTCATTCTCAGATACAAGGGAAAAGCAAAGTGAAACTCTAGCTCAAGCTGAGGGACTTCTAACCCATAGCTGACAGCAAAAATTCTTCACCATCAAGAGAAAAAAATCCATTTACAGCAATTAAAAAAAAAAAAAAAAGATGTAGCTAGGTAAGCTGGTACATGCCTGTAACCCTAGCTACCTGGGAGGCTGAGATGGGAAGATCACAAAGTCAAGGTCAACCTGGGCAATTTAGCAAATCCCTGACTCAAAATAAAAATTAAAAAGGACTGGGGATATGTTGTAGCTCAACAGTAGAGCACCCCTGGGTTCAATTCTCAATACTGCAAAATAAAAGAAAAAAAAAAAAAGAAAGGTTAATGTAAATGTAGATATAAGGTAATATCAGTTTAATTAAAAAAAATACAAATTCTCTGTTTTGATGAAAGACTGAGGCAAAAGAACCAGAAATAATAAACCAGTAACCAAAGAAATGTGGCGACTTCTGAACTTCACCTACAAGATTGATCATTCACAGGCAAGAACAAAAACTCTACACTTAGTTTTGGTATTTTCTTTGTTGTTTTTGGTTATATAGCTACAAACCCATGTATAGTTACAAAAGTCCCCCCCCCTTTTTTTAATTTTATGTCAGGAATTATTAGCCCTTTAAAGCATCATTAATGATTTTATACACAGATGGACACCACTAAACCATTTTTAATTTTTTTTTAGTTGAAGATGAACCCAATAACTTTATTTATTTTTATGTGGTTCTGAGGATGGAACCCAGTGCCTCACACGGGAAAGGCAAGTGCTCTACCACTTCAGCCCAGCTCCAGCCCCCATCACCACTAGACCATTTTTAGAGCACTCTTTCCTAGGCCATCAATCATATTACCTCTAAGATTTCTCCTGTCTCATCTTTTAGCAGCAAACAAAACATGTCACCAAGTCTCATTGCTCACTCTCTCAAATCCCTGCTTAAGAACACCTAAACATCATCATGCTCAAGAGCACCTCTGGGAGTTTTGGTGATTCTCTGGCCGCTACTGGACACAGTCACGTTTTTCTACTTCTCAGCTCCCCCAGTGGCAAGGACTGTAGGAAGTTTATTGGAACTGTTTTCTAAAAGTAGCTGGAGGGCAAGCCAGGCACGCTGGCGCAGGCCTGTAATCCCAAGGACTCAGGAGGCTGAGACAGGAGGATCATAAGTTCAAAAGCCAGCCTCAGCAACTTGGTGAGGCCCTAAGCAACTCAGTGAGACCGAGTCTCTAAATAAAATACAAAAAGAGAATGGGATATGACTCTGGTTGAGTGCCCCTGAGTTCAATCCCTAGGGGGGGTGCAGGGAGTAGCTAGAGGGCTAAAGACCAGGCACTGGATCAGAGCAGTGACCTTCAGTAATTTGTCATTACTGAAGGTAATGACCTCAGGATTTGTCATTCCTGTACTCCAACATTGCCCTCAAACAAGAAAATCAGAGCAATATAAAGAGATTCCAAAACTTCAACAATAAAACAGTCTGTGGGATGGCATGTTCCATAATACAGCTTCAAAAGCTCGTCGACATCATGCCTAGTTACTCTAACATAAAAGTCAAGAAGGACTAAATAAGTTATATTATTCCCAACCTCCATCGACTCTTTTCTCTCTAGGTAAAACTAAACCCCACATAGCATCTTGGAATACTTCATAAGGGCCTTTAAAATATGGCTTCAAGCAAACTGCCTATGTGACAGGTTTGGGCTGCTCAATGTTGTAAAATGGGAAACTTGAGAAGAGATAATATTTTAGATACAATATTTAAAATCAGAAGGCCTGGATTACAATCATCTGAATTTAGGAGTTTTGTTCCTTGAGAAAATATTGTAGTCCCTTTGGGTATTAATTGACGTATTTACCAATATTAGAATACCACAGTCTATACATCACAAGATGGCGGGAAAAAATAATCTGTGCTTGAAAGTCTCCATAACTACTAAGTGTTAATACGACCATTCTTCTAAAGTTTTAATTTTAATCAGACTCCTTCAATGATTATTTTATAAACATCAGCTCATCAAATCTTACTGTATGTTAAGTCCTAGCTCTATCACTTTAGACATCTAGCAACTTCAATATAAACTGAAATTGAATTTTGAAAAGCTGACAAGTCTATCTACAAATTTGTATTGCTTCCTATTATTCAAGGAACAAAAATCATAAAAATGACATTTTATCCAACATTGAAATTTGCTGACACATGTACTTAAATGAAGTCTCTGGCTTGCTTTCACTTTGAAATTCAAAGTACATTTCATGATACAGTACTGAAAATAATCACTTTAGGGTTTTGGATTTTTGTTTGTTTCATTTGTTGTTTTTCTTCGGTGCTAAGAACTGAATACCCAGGGTCTCAAGCATGGTAGGCTAGTGCTCTACTACTGAGCCATACCCTCAGTGAAAATATCACTTTTCAACTTAAAAAAACTTAATTTTACTATGCCTAATGATAGTTTTACTTAACCTTTATGGCTTTTTGGAGGCTGGGGATATAGCTCAGTGGTACAGCACTTGCCTACACCTGTGAGGTGGAGTTCCATCTCCAGTACCACCAAACCACAAAAAACAAAACAAAACATCATGGCTTTTTGCTATATAATACAATACATCCATTTTTTGCTTCTTAGGATTGGGGGACTTTTTTCTTCACAGCTATCAGCCAAGCCAGTCTTTACCCAACCCTCTTCCCCACTCCAGACTTTAGAGACTTTAGAAACAAATCAAAACACCTGACCTGAGGCTAACTCAGGCCTAGCAATGCTTCCCCTGTCAAGATCTGGACTCCACCACGTCCTTTTGGGATCCACAGCTACAGTGACCTGTACAACAGAAGTGTTCTCTTCCACTTGCATTTAAGGCAGGTGACCAGGCTCTAGAACTGGATCAGACAATCATTTCTTTCCAATCCAAGGGTCAACTTAGACTAGGCCTGGCTGGATGGAAGAGTGAAGCACATGCTACCTTGGAGGCTGGCCTCCCCCCTGGCACTGGCGGAGAGAAACTCACCCATGGGCTCGCAGCCAACTCCGCTCTCCACTCTCTGCCTCTGCTTTCTATGGCTCCTCTGGGTTCCCAAGCTGTTTTATCCCCTTACCAACCATCGTGACCTCTATGCAGACACTATGGCCTCTTTCTATCCCTTCACAACAGGAGGCAAGGAGTCCTGTAAACCGCCTTAGGCTCAAAGATCCTCTGTCCCTGAGTATTCTGGGTAAAGGTATTACCTGTAAGAACTTTAGCAACTGAGAAAAATGAGCAATTTCTCTAAAACAATTTTCAACAAAATTGTAAATATGCAAATAATTGGTGCTTTCCAACAAATACCTAAGTTTTTATCCTGAATTAAAGTGAACATAAAATAGAACCTAAAAAAGTTCAGTGCAAGCTGTGGCAGCATTTATATCAATTCTGTTAAGTTTGACATCAGTAACTCCTTCTCTGCTTTTCCTCTATGCTAACCTTGCTCTTTACTCAGAATGGCAAACACAAGAGTCGCTATTTACCCAGTTCTAAGTGCCAAAGGCGTTAAGTCCAGTCCTGTCGTGAGGACTCTTACAAAGTAGGGGATATTTATCATGCCCACTTACAAGAGTGAAATCTAAGTACAGTGAGGTTGCCTGAGCTGCCCAGTCTGCCCAAAGTGGCACAGCTCAGACTGCAACAAGGCTGTCTGGCTCTAGTCTGTGTGGTCACTGCACAGCCTCCGGGCCTTCCTGACAACTGTGTGTAAACCACTAGGGGCTCAGGCTGTGGCCATCCTGTTCAGGGCCCATGTTTCCCAGGACAGCCTTCCCCTCTAGGCCGGGCAGAACTGCATCTCATCCTTCAAAGGGTGCACGACCATGACCCCCTGAGGTCAAATGAACACTGGGAAGTTCTCGCTAGTGTCAGTCTTAAATACCTGTTGAATGAATGAACCTTTCACTTATAAGGTCTCAACACGAGACTAAAAAGCCCTGTCTTGAGGCAACATAAAGCGGCCCCCCCCTCCAGTCCCCCACCTTGCAAGATACCTGAGAGCATATCTGCCTGAGCTCACCCGTGGGTGAGTGACCAGGGAGAATAGCACCGGGACCGGTCCCTCCGCTCCCTGTAAGAGGCCATCAGGGAAATGCCCACCCACCAGCGGCTTAGCACGGGATGTCCGGATAGGATTCCCTTTCTTAAAAAAAAAAAAAAAAAAAACCAACTCTTTGCCGGGGTCTCTCTAGACCGTAAAGCTCTCCCTTACTGCACTCTGACAACCAGGGACTCAGGAGACCAGGGAAGCCCAGGAAGGCCAGGGCCGACCCGGGCACCGAGGGCGCGGCAGGACCGCGGCCTCTTTGGCCTCGGTGCGGGCGCGACCTCGGGGACCCGCACGGCGACGCCGGGAGTCCCCTGGCCCCCATCTGTCGCGGACCTCGGCACCACACAACGATCCGCCTCGACGGCAACTAGAACGCCCTGCGACAGCGCGGCCGGCCCTTCTTTGTCCCCGCTGTCATCAATCCGGACAGCGTCGCGCGGCTCGGGGAGCACGAAGGGCGGCGGCGCCCTCAGCCGGGTCCGCCGCGGCCCGGAAGCCGCGTCGGGACCCGGACCCTCCCCACACGGAAAGCCACCCTCAAGCCCGAGCCCTGCGGGGACGGCGACCGGGCCAGGCCGCGCTGCGGGCAACAGGGCCAGGCCGCGCTCCAGGCCCGACCCAGGCTGAGGCGGCGGCGGGGAGGCGGCGCCGGCCGCGGCGGGCGGAAACGAGCGCGGCGTCTCCCGTCTCCCGCCGCCGCCCCGGCGTCCCAGTCCCCCGCGGTGCCCGCGTCCCCCCCGCCGTCCCCGCCCCCCCCGCGCCCCCCCGCGTCCCTTCCCGCCCGCCGGCCGCCCGCCGCGCTCCCCGTCCCCGCGGGCCGCGCCACTCACACGCGTCCGCGTCCTCCGGCAGGTCCTCCTGGAGCAGCGAGAGGTCTGCGAGGAGAGA